ACCACTGTCGAACATGATGACGACAGGTTTCCCATTACAAGTCCCTTGTTTACGAATGAGCTCGTTCTCACGGTGCATGGACGACAAGGTGGACGTGGAAATCTCTTCCATTTCAACAACCTCAACCTCGTCATCGGAACGGGTCATAGACGCTCGTTCAGCAGCAGCAGTAGTAGGAGAAGAAGAATTAAAGTTCGCGGCAGATTGCTCGTGACGGTTCTTTCGAGCATACTTCTCCTTGTTCTTCAACTTGAAGCACTGCTCAATGACATGACCAGACTTCTTGCAGTAACGACATCGTATTCAACCACGGCAACATGGTCTCCAGCAGTTCTCCACAGTCGACGTCAAGACTGTTGTCGTCCAGCTTGTTAGACGACGAAGAAGAAGCAGAACGGCGATTTCTAGTACTCCCTGAGTCAATTTCCATTGGCTCGGGTTCGTTCTCCTGAACACGCATAGGCGTGGCTTGCTTTTGGTGCGAATTGTTGTTGGACTGAGAGCGTGATCGGTCCTGCGAAAAGAACAGTGGACGATAGTTCTTACCGCGGACATGATGCGATCGATCATACTCCAAAGCAATCTTCATTGCTTGCGACACTGTTGTACAGCGACGATCTTGCACCTCTTCACGCGTAGGACTGACTAGTCCACGTGTGAAGTAAGTGATCTAGTCCAACTCACTCATGTCTGTCACTTGCATGAAGGCTTCACGGAGGCGACAGATGTAATCTTCCAAGCTAGAGCAAAATTTCTGCTTGAGCGCGCACCACTGATCACGCAGACGCGCTTGCCAATCCGGAGGCACAAATTCATCGGTCAACCTGGGCCATAAGGTCCTGCATGTCCTTGATATCACGCTTGTTCAGCTTGTACCAAGCGGCAGCATTTCCTTTAAAGTTCGCAGTAGTAATGACCAAAATTCGAGAACTTCCGTTGTCGTTTTGCCAATCGATGTTTTTGGCATCAAAGTACTGAGCAAGTTGCTCGAAGTACAAATCAACAGATTCTTCCATCGTGCCATGAAATTCAGGCAGACGGATACCTTCCACTTTCACTTCACGCTTACTCATGGCTTCAAGCAGTTGTTGCTGCTTGTCAATCATTTCGATGAGTTTCTGCGTGATAGCGTCAGTAGACCATCCTTGAGGATTCAAGGAAGTCATGGTTGATTGTCGAAAAATTCAGCGATGAAGTGCCGAAAAGGTAGTCGGGTACAGGTGGACAGCGACGAGGGGTGCAGGTACTGAATTGATCCGGATCTTATAGACCAGACACTTACCGTACACACGCAATCAACGATAACGCTGATGAAGGATGCGACATTAGGTACGGGTACTAACTTGATCCGGCTCTTATAGACCAGACGCTAAGTGCAGTACACACACAAAAATTCAACACGGCAAGCCGTATGAAATGAGGTCGCAACGAAGAAATCCGACGAATGTGGAGACGAAGAACGCCGACACACGCTCAACGAGCGGCTTTCCACGTGTCGCGTAGCGAGTAGAGAATGAAGAATCCCCTCCCGGACGATAACAGCGAGTGCTACCAGATGTGACGACTGTGAGAGCACGGCGCAGAGGACAGCGACGGGGAACGAGTCGCGTGCGAGGAGCGAGCGGAGGAGGCGGCGAGAGTCCACGAGGGACTC